AGTTTTAACGCAATTTCTAGTCGTCTATTTTTATTTTTTTAAGTTTAATTTCGATGCCTAATTTTTTTTCATACCTGTCTATCTATTCTAATCTTACACCTAATGTGAGCATTAGTATATATATATTCATAGTTATATTCATTTGTACCTCGATCTTCAATTTTATTTTATCGTAGTATTGCTTAGTTTGTCGTAAGATAACGGATATGAGATTCCAATCGCTTTAGATGTGGTCATACAAATCTGCCCGGCAGCTATTGCGATATTAAATGCAGGTTATATCGGCGTTATTTTCAAAATGAATTGCAGGTATACGTTTAGAAGGTTAACACAGTAATAGACAGTCTCACTGCTGCGTGTCGTGGTGCTCGCGACCCCGTGGTGGCAAATTACTGCACTGCTGTTGAATGTCGTCACAAACCTAAGTGTTCAGGTTTTGTGATACCTGGTGCGGCTTGGTTTCTTTCCCTCAATTTTCCCCTTTATATCTAGGATATATATATATATATATATACTTTTTTTGATAAAAATATGTTTTATTGGATTAGCAGACAAATTTTAATTCTGATAAAACGGGATGGTTATATTGTTTAATAATATGAGAGACAGAGTAAAATAAAAACAAGTTAAAAGGTAAGATTGGATATTTAGGAATCTGCAAGTCTTATGTTATTTTTCATAATCTGTTTAAAAAAAGATATGTACCAATGGACTTTATTTCTTGTGAAGGAAAACATCGTGAGTGTCAAAAAGTCGTCGGCGTGTGTCAGGCACAGAAAGCTGATCACCTACTTGCCTATTAGATTAAAAAACGATCATGAAACAGATTCAGAAATCTAAGGCCCAGACCTAAAAAGGTTGTAGCGCCACTGATGTTTTTTAACCAAATTGGCGTTTCGATTAAAAAATATTTTGTATTATTATATAAGTGAGTTTTAAGGTTTTTCTAAATAAATAAATTATGGTTAAAAGTTACACTATAATTAAGAACTTCATATTTTTGTACGTTAAAGGCGAGAAGACAAATTCACTTCCGCTCGGACATTGCACAAACTCTCTCGCATACATATGGATTGTAGATAAATTATATGGATTTTCAGATCCGAATTATCAATGATTTAATGGTACTTTGAGAAATGGGGACACACTACGAGTTGGTGTAATTTTATGTCCTAACCTATAATCGGTCATCGAGGCCTGGGTATTATTGAATTTCTTCCACTTCAAAGTGATCCTTTTTGGCGGGGATTAAAGGTCCTTGTCTTAAACAAGATATATTGATCAAAGGATATTGAGATCTCGATTTCTTGTTAATATTTTGGTTGCGAGGGAAAAGGTTATATTTATGGGAAAGGGATACCATTATTATAGGGTAATAGTTATTTTTCAATAGACCATAAAATATGGGTTTTCTTATTTAAATTTTTACTTTTCACTTTCCTTGAACTTAACTCAACCACTATGTGGAACCAGGTGCCCACTGAAGTAATTCCGAACCAATTTGACTGAGGGTCCTTCAAGGAAAGAGCGTACCAATTTTTAAAAGGCCGGCACTCGTGAGCCCTCTGGCATTGATTTCCATGGGCGGCGGTATCACTTAACATCAGATGAGCCTCCTGCCCATTTGCACCCTGTTCTTTAAAAAAAAAATAACAAGCTTTTGGGTGATTTCTTGATTATCGTATATCATTTCTTATACATTATAATTATACATTACTTCATAACTTAAGGTCTTGAAATGGCCTAACTGGTACTTCGAGTTGCTGCTCCACACTGCTCCATCCATAGGGATTAGGGCATTAGGGATGTTGAGACCCATACTTGTCTTAATTTAGTCAGGCCAGAAATCAACCCTGACTTCGACCATAACCAGTTTGTCAAGACTATCCGGTTCACTTACGTTAACATTCTATATCAGTCTCAAAATTATACCTTTTTCATCTGTCAAGTATAATATCATATTTTTGATCAGAAAAACAATTATAGTTTGCATATAGCACACTTTTTTTTATAGAACAGGGGGCCAACGGGCAGGAGGCTCACCTGATGTTAAGTGATACCGCCGCCCATGGACACTCCCAATGCCAGAGGGCTCGCGAGTACGTTGCCGGCCTTTTAACGCTCTTTTCTTGAAGGACCCTAAGTCGAATTGGTTCGGAAATACTTCAGTGGACAGCTGGTTCCACAAAGTGGTGGTGCGTGGCAAAAACTGCCTTGAAAAACGCTCATTTGTGAAAACTACGAAAATATACTAAAACGAAAGAATAAAAATAAGAAGAGTTAACACTTATCATAAGTCATAGATATAACGTCCAGTTAATTATAACGAGCGGCACTATATATTACAATTTGCGGCTATTCTGAGAGCCGGCTGTAATTAATACCAAGTTTGCGTAAAATTTACAGCTCTCGTAAAGCAATTAAACGAAATTAAACCGTACCCACCTTGCAAAAAGATTTTATTTCAAACAAAAATCCCTGTTGGAGCCGAGAGCTTCGTGCGAGTGTGAATCGAGGAGTTAAAGTTATGAATACAATAATATTCAATTTAAATTGAGTACGCTCCGACATTCATAAAAAGTTTTACAATTTTTATTCTCTCTTTGACAATGTGCATTGCATTTTGTTTGGGAGCTATGAAAAATTCCAATAGATGGTTTGTGGATTACAAAGCGCGACCAATTTAATCAACGGTATAAAAACGATGGCCAACGATGCAGTAAGTTCAAATTACTTTTTTAAGTGCATACAATATGTTGTGAGTTGTGAATACATGTTATACTTTGTGTAAGTTTACATCAAATGTTGATTGGAGTTGGAGCCCAAAGAGTTCTGTAATGTTTCCTGACAAATAACTTCTGATCATCAAAAACAAAATATAAATTACGTATTATTTACATTTTTGCCTGTTCTTCAATCAAATGTGTAGAACGATGAAAAACTGGCAAGAAAGTCTGTCACTCTTTTAGATAATAATAAAACTTTATCATTATTTAAAAGAGTGTAACGAGGTCGTAAATCTTCATAGAACTACTTTCTTGTTTAAAAAGAGAGCATACTCCTCCCTGATTTATGACAAAAATATAACCATGTGACAAAATTTATTCTCCATGTCTGTTAATTTTTACAATAAATAGAAAAGCCAAACGTTTAACCTCTATCAGTGATTAAGTTGGGTCAAATCACTACGAAATGTTAATTAGGCTAAGTAAGTTTAGTTTAAAATTTAAAGGACTTTAAATATTTTCGGGACATCCAATACATTTACTTTATTTCTCGATTCTTTCGAGTTAATCTCGACATCAGCCGATCAATGACTTTATATTACGGCTCGTATGTGCGCAACGTAACACAATTTGTCGCGTTCAAAATGTGATTACGTATATTGTTTTTTCTAAAGGCTGTCGAGGGAGGCTTCAGGGGTAATATTGTGGTATAAAATATTAACTTTTGTTGCTTTATATTGTTTATATAGACAATTAATATGCATTAAGCGTTCCTTTAGTATTATATGTTGCGTTTTTAATAGCATTATATTTTTTTATAAGTATTTATAGACTTTATAGGCTCAAGTACGACGTCATATGACTGTTCACATCTCTGGGCCAGTACTCCCAAATACCAGCTTCTTCTTTTTGACCAAACTCAGCATAGGTCATGTCGATTTGTCAATCTCCAATGTATTTCTGCTCTTGGCTTGATTCTCTCTTCACGCAAAAGACATTGCGTCTCTATATGGAGAGTGTTCTTAAGAGTTTTTGTGTTGATCCCTTCTGCCTCGTTAACTTCAGATTTCATCCGCATCACCTTGATGGCTCAAAGTGTTCCACGGCCTGCTTCTCAAGGCATTTTTTGCGAATAAGAAAAATTCTCCTACAGCCTAGCGATAGTCTATAACTAATATCATAGAATACTAATTTGTATCTCAAGTCAGTCTCGTCTTGAGTAATGTACATCAGGCTTCATTCAGAAAAAAATGGTCTTGAAACAAGATTTAAGATTGATCGACGTTCTAGAATATGGCATTGAAAGACATCCGGAGTTCCACCGCATGAATTGAGAATCCCTAAACTACACTAACTTTTTTTCTGTAATAGGAGGCAAACGTGCAGGAGGCTCATCTGATGTGATACTGCCGCCCATGCACATTGCTAGAAGTCTCGCAAGTGCGTTGCAGCGCTTCCAGCGCTATCCTCCGTTTTAATTCGGTCATAGAATGCAACTGAAGTATTTCAGAAACTGACCTAAACATGATTTACTTAGAGTCCTTCAAGCGTAACAATTATTAAAAGGCTTCTGTCTATGTGTCTATAGGCGACGGTATCACTTTATATCAGCTGAACCTGCTGCCCGTTTGCTACCTGTTATGGTAAAAAAAATATTCTTCAGCAACGATCTTGTGAAACAGTGAAACTTCTTCAGGTTTCTTTGAGGGTTACATTTTTACGGATGAAACGCAATAATAATAATATATTAGCGTCACGAAGATGTGCAGCATTTTTGTCGAAGAAATGGGAGAGAGCGATTGAGACCGATTGAGAGAGAGAGTGTGAAAGGGCGAATTACCTTATTGAAATTCTAATTTTAAAATTAAAATTTCGTAAAGAGAATTTATGAAATACTAGTACCTATTTATATTTTATGCAAAATAATTTATTGGAATCTCAAAAGACGAATTGTAGATTAAAATGCCACGTGTTTTTATTATCGAATAAATAAATTTAAAAAAATATGATTTGTACTGATTTTCGACACTTAATATTTTAGTGACAATTAAATTCATTGAATTCCTAACTAGTTCAATAGTTACCTAACTAACCTAATGAAATCAATAGTTTTAGATTTGTATAAATATGAACAAAACTCAAAAATATAAAATATGTTTCATTAAATAAGCATCTCGGTGAAGGTCGTTGTATATCGGGATCTTATACTACTATAAACCATTATCGCCTTCACCTGTATTTTATACCAAGCTAACTCGATTACAGGATAAGTTTATGCCATCGTTGATACGACGTACTGGTAAACACGTATGACAATTTTTCCCTATTGAATATTTTAGTAGCCGTTCTATCATTTCAAGGCACTATTACTCAACCCTTGTGAATTTTTAAAGATATGGATCAAGTTTCGTAAAGGACTTTGTAATTTTAGGGCTAAATAGGAAATTTAACGTCATAATATCATCAATCGATGTTTGTATTGAAATGTAAGTGGTTTTATTCGTTATGAAACATTTTATTTCCTATTTTACAGTATTTTATACTATAATATAAATATTAAATTAAAAACATAATATAAACAAAAAAAGAAAACATAAAACCTAAACCGACTTTTAACTATTATAATTATTATTAATGCAATTCTTGTGAATTCAGCCAGTGTGCATAAATACTAAATATATTCTCACGATAATAGATAGCATTAAGTTTATTGTCAAAAAAGAAAGATGGTGAAATACCTGTATCATGAACTCGTACAATGCAATATTAGATGCAAATAAACTTTATTATTATTATTATCCGTCTCACAAGCAATAGTATTTAGGGTGCGCAAGACCCGCGTAAATGGCGCTTCTCTGAGTGAATTTGGACGCGCTCGAAGCACAGAAACAACATGTTTATTTTTAGCTATATAATCTTCTGGATATTTATATTGTAGCCTCTCCTCTGTAATTCGAATGAAGTACACGAAGTGTCGGCTGATAGAAATCGTATGTACTACGAATGATGTGATTCGCGTGAATCTGTCAATTCCGCACCAAAATATAACAAAATGTGAAGTGGTGGAGTGATGAAGCCTTTAATAACATTTTATTTTAAAGCTAATAAAGTTTTAAATGAATATAGAAAATAAACAGGCACGAGGCTTATCTGATGTGATACTGCCGCCCATGCACATTGCTAGAAGTCTCGCAAGTGCGTTGCAGCGCTTCCAGCGCTATCCTCCGTTTTAATTCGGTCATAGAATGCAACTGAAGTATTTCAGAAAATGACCTGAACATGATTTACTTAGAGTCCTTCAAGCGTAACAATGATTAAAAGGCTTCTGTCTATGTGTCTATAGGCGACGGTATCACTTTATATCAGCTGAACCTGCTGCCCGTTTGCTACCTGTTATGGTAAAAAAAATATTCTTCAGCAACGATCGTGTGAAACAGTGAAACTTCTTCAGGCTTCTTTGAGGGTTACATTTTTACGGATGAAACGCAATAATAATAATATATTAGCGTCACGAAGATGTGCAGCATTTTTGTCGAAGAAATGGGAGAGAGCGATTGAGACCGATTGAGAGAGAGAGTGTGAAAGGTTAAGTAATAGCGCCCATGGACACTCACATTGCCGGAGGGCTCGCGACATTGCCGGCCTTTCAAGAATTGGTACGCTTGAAGGACCCTAAGGCGAATTGGTTCGGAAATTATTTAACAGACCGTTACTACTACTAATCTACTTCTTAGAGGAAACAGATAGTCCGCTCCAGAAGTTTCCATGCTGACCACGACGCTCAGGCTCAGGCAAATTAAAAAATATGAATTGAAGAACACACAATAACTAACGCACCGAAAATAAAAATATATGAAAATTAAAACAACCTTTGTGTACATATTAATTACATTTGCACATACCTTTACATTTCCAAATGCGTAGTAAGAGTATGATAAATAATTTTATTGTCTTTAATTGTGTGCTTGTTTTAATAGATAGTAGAAAAACTGTTTATGTACGCGCTAGCGACCTTATGTCCCTAATCATTACTAACTACTAAGTAACTGTCAACCCTGAGGTCCGGCTTTCGAACTCCGGCTGTGCACAAATGCTGCTGCTGGTATCAGCCGCCATTGTTATTATAATTAAAAACATAAAAATCAAATTAATTCAAAACCGTTAAGTAGTTAATTTGATTTAACAATATTAAAAGATCTACAAATTAATTGACGTTTTGATAGTCTGTAGTAATAATAACTTCAGTCATTATTACAAATGTCGGAGCAATGGCGTTAGTATCAGCTGTCATTGTCATTATAATGTAATAACATCAAAGTCAAATTCAAAACCGTTAATACCATAGTCTACGGTTAATACGAATGGTTTATTTAATTGGTCAATGTTGCTAGGTCTATACATTAACGACTATTCAATGGTCGATAATAATATTGACAAATCAAATAACTTAATGGTTTTGAACTAATTTGACATTGATGTTAATAAATTATAATTTCAAGCGGCTGGTACAAGCGCCATTGCTTCGACATAAATATTAATATTTTATAAATGTATCGCGATTTATACGCCGTTTTAAACATTTAAGTAGCATTAGACACAGCGTCGCTATTCGTTCTTCAAAAGGTCTTAAGCGACATTTCTATAATACCCTTATTAACTCAAAATACAGGCTAAATTTACAAAACAAGTACCAAAGTCATTAATACGTCTTCCACCTCAAACAGTGATAAGCCGTTAAGACCACACGTGTTCTTATTACGAAACAGAAACGATTACTGTGCGGTTCGAGTTATATTAGCGAAGCCCACGAAACCCGATAATGGCCTACATACGTTATTACCCAATTAAATTATCCTGTGTCGTATTTTGCGCCTTATTGGTTAAGGGTTAAGGTTTGATTTCGAGGCGTATGGAGCTTTAAAGTTTCTATGTCTTATAGTTCAAATGACTACCTACTAAGTTTAAGACTCAAAAAGTGGACGGTGTGTGTCTGGCACTGGAGGCTGATCACCTACTTGCCTATTAGATTGACAAATGATCATGAAACATTCAGAAATCTGAGGCCCAGACCTAAAAGAAGGTTGTAGCGGCAGTGGTTTATATTTATTTTACTAATTAAAGTGCGTTCATTTCTATATGTTTATACTTTGTTGTATACCAAATATGTATAGGTATACATATACATTCAGATATATATAAATTAAGGACGCAATGGACGGCCTTATTTCTACCAAGCTATCTATTCTAGGAAACCCTACCTAACCCCCTTTTTGAGGTGTGTTCCTCACGATATTTTCCTTCGCCTTACAAGCGAGTGTTAAATGCGCACATAGAAAGTCCATTGTTTCATGGGATCGAACCTACGACCCCAGGAATGAGAGTCGCACACTGAAGCCACTAAGACAACACTGTTCTATGAATTTTCAATATTTGGCAATAAAAGGAGGAGGAAATACAAGAAGTGATGGATACTGGCCGATTCGTCCGAGAACTGGCAGTAAATAAGAATTTAGATGACATTCATTTGTTTCCTACATGAGAAAATTGCATTTTGGTTTCATTTATCAAGATGCTCATAGCCCAAAACCAGATTGAAAGCATTTCTCAACCTCATTGAAATCACTTCATCTTACACTGCGTTTTCCGCCTTCAATATTTACTCAATTAATTGAGACCCAAGAAAATTTAATCCGCTACGAAAAGTTCTTAGCAATTTTGGCCAAATTCTCAACGTAATATATATCTTAAAGAGGAAATAATGTCAGTCTTGTTGCTTAATCAAATCTCGTTTGGTTCGACTGTGAGGGGAATTTCATTCGGGGAATTAACATTTCACTATATTTCACTGGAGTTTTAAGATTTCCACGTGATTCTCGCGTTTGCGGGATTTAGACGGTGACATGCGTTATTAAAGTTTAAGATGAATCTGAGGAATTTAAATGTGTTTTTGTGACTTTTTAGGTGTGTTAAATTTCAATTTTAAAAATATACTATATTAAATCAAGGGGGAAGCAGTCTATTGGTGGCCGAATGCGTATAATGTCCGTCTCGGTGAAAAATAATTTATGTATATAGGTACATATATATTATAAAAGAAAACACTTAGACAATATATACAAAGCCAAAACAGATTTCATTGTTAAACAAAATATACGAAACAGACAACATAAGTCAGTTAAAAAAAAGAAACCTTAAATTAAACATTAAACAAACTACAACCTATTATTTTGAAGAAAAACGAAATTATTACTACTGCTAAATGAAGTCAAATATTAATATATATTATCTTTAGCAAGGTGGAAAATGTCTACGTCTTCATAAATTGTATGTTGAGAGGGCTGATTACCATCTGAATAAAAATATATTGAAAGATAAATGAGTCTAAATTATAGGACTATTTAGAATTGCTTATAATTATATTTCTTAAAGGCTGGCAACTTGCGAGCCTTCTGGCAATGTGAGCGTCTATGGGCGGCGGTATCACTTAACATCAGATGAGCCTTCTGCCCGTTTGACCCCCTGTTCTATAAAAAAACACTGAGTTTTTAGCAACATACTTTTTACTGTTTTGTTCTAAAAATTAGAACACTAAACAGGCATTGGCCTCAAAATTCAAAAATTCACGTAGGTAACCCAATGTACACTTGTGATTCGACATTAAAGAAATAAATATTAATGCTTCTAATTTTACATTTACTGCCAGTTCTCAAATCAAGGGCGTAGAACGGAAGAGAAGAACTGGCAAAAACTCTCCCCACTCTCCGCCACTCTTTTTAATCGCCATGTTTTTATTTTTTTTTACACAACGTTTGTAAGGAGCTGCAACCATTACACCATGTTCCACATGACATTTTAAGTAATTAATAATAATAACATAACATAAAAACAAAGACTTGTCCCCTATCAGGCAGGAGGAGGCAGGGTGAAAAAGGCACGCCCCCCACTGGTGAAAAAAAAGCACCCCCCTCCCTTCCCCTTGGGAACAACACGCAAACACATAGTCGAAATAATTAACATCACCGCATACACGAATTCAAGTACGACCACTTCCTAACTTCGAGTATTAGACTAATCTTATTTCCTTTCACAGCTGAGAAAACACCCCCCGGATTCCCGTCGATATCGCCCCCATCAACGACCCTGGTGGTAGAAGTTGGTCACATCGCAACACTGCCCTGTCAGGCGACAGGAACCCCACCCCCTAAAGTGCGGTGGCTCTTCAACTCGCTACCACTGGACGTCGCTTCGAATCCCAGATACGGCATCTTAAATGATAACATGCATGGTAAGTAATAGTATAAAAACAACTATATTATGTTTAATGTTTAAAATAGAAGTCTGAACGCAATTACTATTAAGAAATAATTGAACCAGTTACAGAAATCTTAATCCCTTTGACCTTAGGCGGAGATTTCAGGGCTGGATTGTAAAAGCAGCCAGCGCATGTGTAACTTCCGTTGCAATAGACTCTGGGGGACGGTTAGCACTCTATTCAGCTAGTAATAGCTGTGTCTTTGGCTTACGAACGATATGTGAAGTTATACTTCTTTTGGCGCGTTAGGGAAAAATGATGAGAGTAAATTTATACGATGCGCGCACACCGTCACAAAAAACCAACACCCTGAAGTTAGCTATAGTCAACATTTTAGTTTTTTCTATTTTTAGTGTAGTTTTTTCTACAAACGTAGAATTAAATTTTTGAAAAGATTTTTATCTTGTTACGCCAAAGAAGTATAAATTCTAACGCGTGTACATAAGTACACACACTTTTTAATAAAAGCCCTACTCTATTAAATATATTTTAAAGCTTTTAATGTTCCATCCTCATTCGCGGAAACAGCCAATCGTAAGTTTCTGCTCAGAAAGTTTCCTTTCCGAAACATGAGTTATCCCTGTGAACACTAGTTGAGACAGTTACGAGAAATATTATCAAATCTAAGCGAATCACGTCTGAGAGAAACGGACAAAGTTAATAAAGACATTGGGGTCCGAAGACGTCATCCCGATACTTTATTAAATCCCGCCCAACCTACGGGTCTTATTGAAAGCCATGGGAAACGACTGGCTAAATTGTATTTGCTTGATACGGATACCCGCAAAGTACTTTAGGATAAGATATACGTAGGAGATGCATATAGAGACCAAAAATCTTAGATATTTTGGGAATTGCATTGTAGTACCTGCAAATGTAAAATACCTGCATTAGTTAAATAAAATACTAAATTTGCAATTTAAAAATGTATTATCACCAGCCCTAGATTTTAACCGACTACAATTCAAAGGAGGATTTCTGTTTTTGATGTGTAGTTTCTATTGCTCCTCCCCCCAGAGTAAATAATTGAGGTGTAAAGTGATTCGGGTTTTCAGATTTTACGATTGTTGACATACGCACATTTAATGGTTAATTTAAAAACAAATATGTGATGGTTGGAACACAAATTGGTCACAATTCCGTCTACTGAAGCGTCGACATTCACAACAATAATATTTTAGTTTAAAAAATTAACTAAAGAATCAAAGATAAAGCATGGCACCGACTTCCAAAATTAGACTAATTTAACTTTTGTTTTATTAACTTTCATACTGCGTATACAAATAAGTTAATTATAGTTTAATAAATTTAATTATCTTGGCAAGACCATTCAAATGTTTTATTTAATAAATTTTAGTTCATTTCGGTTTATATTACAAATGAATTTACGGGTGTAGCTTTTGAAAAACCAAATGGCGTCTATTAACATGAATTTTATCTGTTTCCTAAGCTTCGTATCTTAGATAAATGCTGCCATTCAACACGTTATATAACATAGATATTAAGATTGTACAGACCGTTCTTTTGTAAGAAAAACATATATAACTGGTAATAAAACCCACTATGCCGTATTTTTAGTACTATAAATTAGTATTTATCCCGGTTACCTCATCAGGAATCTTGGCAACCTCCCTTCGTTCGTGAATTTCACCATCGTTATAACGCCAAGTATTAATTAAAATAGTAAATCTTTCGGTATAGAATATAGACTTTTTATTCCTAATTGACGGTTTAAGATTATGAAAAATGAATTTTTATTCAAACGACACCTTCCCAAAAAGATTAATAAGTCTTTTTATAAGCGATTTCGTCACGTCTTTTGATCAACGTTCCAGATTAATTACATTTAATTAGTAAAGCGATGAACCGTTTAAAAACCGTATTTAATTATCAAGGGAAAGTTTTGTAAGCGAAGTTCAACTTTTCATGTTTTTTTTTTCAGTTATGTATATAGTTAAATTAAGGTGCTGTGTTACTTGGTTTTACAAGCTATTTATCGATGTATGGACCAAGTGGTTCGGACTTTCGAAATGAAATCGTGCGTTCGAATCACGTCTGTGTATGATGGATTTTTCAATGTGTGAACTTAACACTTGCTCCTATGGTGAAGGCAAACATCGTTAGCAATAGCATTGATTTCGCGAGACATTTTTATGACATTTCTATACAAAATAAAAAATATTAAAGAATCGGATGCCATTTATGGCTAAAACACTTCGGGTCCTATATAAGGATTATAACCCTTTTAAAAAAGCTATAGCACTGAATTATTCATTAACTTTGAGATAAAATAGTGTCAAGTTCTGTTGCTAATCAAGAAATATATTTTGTCATTATAATATTTTTATGTAATTTTTTAGATAATCTGTTCTTACCCAACTAAAACATTTTTATCCCTTGGTCTTACACGCATTTAACAGTACATACTGGTACATTTACTATACGTACTTGACATATAATGTTAAATGTACCAATACTGTCACAAGTTATAATTAAAATAAAAAGATATTCCATCTCGCTAGTGCTTTATTTAAATTCAAAGTTCCATAGCCAAAGTTTGTGTGACGCAGTGAGATGACAAAATGTTAATTACGCCAATTTTGCGGGTCGCCTGCTCTCCATCGGATATACGATTTTCATTATGAGATGCGGTTTCATTGAATTTTAGATCGTAAATTGAATTAAGTTTCTCTACTTCTTGTTGGATTTTGTGCTGTTTTGCTTTGAGTTTTGTGTGATGATTACTTTTTCTATAGTTACTACACTATTCCTTCGTGTGCTTTATTTTTAGCTGATTTAACTTGAGAAGTAATAATGTATCAATCAGTTCTCCTGTCACTAAAAGACAGTGGTAAATTCATTAGAAAATTATTTTTAAGAAATACTAATTATGATTGATAAATACGCTGTTACTGTCGATGAAATTTTGTTTGACCTTTTATTTCAAAAAGTAATGATGCGTTAAATTCTCATGTCTTGTGATTCCTGGCTATGCACTAACTTAGTTTTATTTAAATGTGTGCAATCAATTCTAAACAGACGTAGGAAAACTTTTTAAGTAAACTATTTTACTATCCTAAAATTGACCATATCACTTTAAGCTAAACATGTACTTGCCTGCAAAAAATAATCCATCTAATAGAAGCAATGTCTTTGCTCCATTCGCTAGGGGTTATGGACATTCTATGCACATACCTTAAGTACATATAAACAAATTATTATATTTCATTTAGATAGTTAATTATCTGTCAAGTGTCACAACTGACGTTTTATTTAATTGTAATATTGAGAATTTGTTCTGTTTGAGTAGTCTGTGGAAAAAAACGCGAGTTTTGGCTAGTGGTCAGTTACATTTTTACTAGGAGCATTTTTTGTTAGATTATTTTCGGATTTTAATCGGGAATTTTATGAAATAACAATTATACTAAATGTGGTTTCTATAATTATTTCAGGTAATTGATTCATTATTAATTAATTACTATACTTGTTTTTGTCTATATTTAGATTCTGGGTAATTGGTAGATATTTTTAAAATAGTATTAAAAAAACTAAGTTATTTCAGCAACACATTGTAGTTTCATTAATTGTATATATGTGAACGTTAAAATTTTAAACGTCTGCTTAATAGTAGCGAAATTAATTTTAATGCACTTCAAAAGTGGAAGATTTAAATTGAGTTAAACCAAGTCGTGGACTTGGCTGACTCTTTTTAAGCTCATTAATTTTAATTTATTCCGACAGATTATTTTCTTGTCGCTTTCATATTCGGAGGTGCTGATGACTTTCAGTTCATTGTTTGTTTTGCAAATAGTTATGCTTAATATTGTACAGTACTCCGGTGTCCTTAAGGACTTCTATGGTTATTATATTTCAAGATACACTTGCCTGAGACAAGTCGATAATAAGATCTAATGTTTATGTTTTATTTTGTTTCTTTTGGAGTAGAGACTCTTGGGCCGTGGGTTTCAAGAGCACAGACGCTAATTAAAGATTTAAGTTGGCGCCTGGTAGATAGTACAGGTGGTAAAAACTGGTGCTTTCCTCGCTCAACGAATAAGTATACAGCGAGGAAATGCTGCCAGCGTTAAATGTACACTGCCACAGGGACCAAACATTTTAAATTTGTTTTAATTTACTTTTTATGTGATTTTTAATTAAATTCTTTTGATTGTTATGTTTTGATTTTAATAAACGATTATGAATAAATTATTGAGAATACATATATTATATCGCCACCCTTCTATGTTTGAATAAGTTTTACTATTATTAACGTAATCTTAAAGATTTTTTATATTTTTTATTTGTAAAATTATAAGCACTAAACTACTAACACATGTGTGTAAGATATAAGTAGTGAAGTGCGCGTGACTTTTAGCTTATGCGTGCGTTCAAAACCCGGCTGAGCTCAATAAATACTAGCTCATACGGCGAAATACATTATTGTGAGAAAGCGATACAAATTATTGATGTGTGTCAGGCATTAAAGGCTGATTAAATAATCGAGGAAACAAATATAGACCAACGATAGCAGAGCCTCTGATGTTGTTTCGGTGCCTCTTGTTTTTAGTAAACTTTGCTATAATCTTAGGTATTCATTTCACCGTGTAAACTATTTAAATTTATATTTTTCTTAATTCCGGTCGTGTTCACGACGCGTATAAAGATAATATTATCATAGGCTCCGTGTAGTTTGAAATAACATTGAAATTTAAAGTCTATTTAAATAGGTGAACGTGTTTTTAGAATCTGTAGAGTAAAATTCTTATTTCTATAAAATGTTTCATGAATATATTAGAATATTGTTATACTCATAATACTTATAAAAAAAACAACTCTTTTCTAAGAACTTGAACTCGAAGAGAAGACTCCAAAGAAACAAGTATTTAACTTAATAAAATTCACACACAAAAAGAAAGAAAGAGGTATAATTTTAAAAACTAAAAATTTACTTAAAAAGATGAAAACTGTGTAAC